ACAAATCAAGAGGTGGCCTGCCATGCCACATTATGCTAAGGTCTCAGTGTACTTTTGGTCATTAAACTCCCCTGCTACCTCCTATAGAGGGTAGCAATGTTTCCTACATTTCACCTGAATAATTGTACTTCAACTTATGTGAAAAATGTTTTCTGATGAGTTTTAATGTGGTGACATGATAGTCAGCATGTCATTGTAACATAGCTCCATTTGACAGCAGTGCTGTTTGTGGTTGAGTCCTAGGAAGCATTTGTTTAAAATTATCTATCTATACATATAAAAGCCTAAGCGACCGTTACGGCCAGTTGACTGGTTGCTATGATGTGCACTGACCACCATCTGCCCCCTGGTCAGTGCGCTCCCATAGCCAACCTCCAGCAGTCCTTCCGCCACCACCCACCCACCCCTCCCAGCCAGCTGACCCCCGATCGGCCCCTATCAGGACTGGGCGAGACAGCCCTGATTAGCCCCGATTGCTGGCCAGGCTGAGGGACCCCACTCATGCACCGGGCCTCTAGTGTCATATAAATATAAAGAGTGAAGACTAGGTTTAGGATGGGGACCTACTAGTTACCAACCAAGGGGCTAGAGGTATTCTTTCACTCCCTTCCATACTCTTGTCTTCTTTTCTGCCCCCTTTACATCATGATGACAGTGTGGAATACCGTCCTGAGCCTATTCTGAACACACTGCCCTGTTTGGTCAAATTACCCCCAAGCTACCGCCTGGGTCACATCATGACAAGAAAAAGGTGTTTTCCAATGACATTAATCCAAGAGCAACCGGAATTGGCTTCTTTTCATTTTTTATCCTTTATTTCTTTTTAATTACAGCCGCTTGGAGCCAGTGACTATTTGGAACTATCAAAGAATTTTGATACAGTAATTTTGCGAAACATTCCCCAATTTACACTGTCAAAAAGGAGTCAAGCTCGAAGATTCATAACTCTCATTGATACCCTCTATGATTTCAAGGTAAGGATGAAATGTGCATTTTCTCAAAACTGAACCTTTTAGACTGTGGAGCTACTTCGCCTAGGCTGGAATCCTGGTCTACCACCTAGTTTACTTCAGTGTGCCTCAGTTTCCTCATCTGTAATTGGGATAATAATATGTTTTACTCCAGAGAATTGTGAGAACAAAATAAGCTAATCCGTGTAAAGCATTTAAAAAAAATGTTTGGCACAAGCTGAGTGCCGTGTAAATATTAGTAGTAATAGGACTAGGAGTAGTGGTAGTATAATAAAACTCCCATCATAAGAACGTCTGCTATCTTAATGATTCCCTCATTCAACTAGACACATCCTGTGCTCTATCTATGACGATGTTCAACACAGTTCCTTGCCTAGACTGAGTGTGCACGGGTGAGGTCCAGCCAGCCTGGCCCAAATGGGGCAAAGGGGGGGGGGGGCAATTATCAGGGCTGGGACTGTCGGGAGGAGGAGAAGGTGGAAGGAGAAGGTAGAAGGTTGGCTGGCTGGATGGCCCACCCCAATCGGCCATTCAGGGCCGGGAGTGGCCAAGGGTGAGTGGCCAGTAGGCCCCACCCTCAATTGGGGAGGCCGATTGGGGGCAGGGCTGGCCATGGGGAGGGTCTGTGTGCAGTGGGCCAGCAGGCCCAGCCCCAGAATTGCAGGGGTGCCCATCGGAGGTCAGTGGCCAGGGGTGGGGCCATGGGAGGTTGGCTGGCCAGCCCCACCCCCAATTGGTGTGTGTGTGTATGGGGGTGCTGATTGGGGCAGAGCTGGCTGGGGGGAGGGGGCCACAGACTGATTGGGGTGGTGGGGGCTCATCAGAGGCAGGGCCGGCCAGGGGGAGGGGCTGCAGGAGGTTGGCATCATGGCGACCAGACTTTCCAGTTGTTATAGCGTTCTGGTCGCTGCTTTTTATATATATATATATATATATATGATTTTCAAAGGATTGCCGTGAATCCTGAGAACAAATTCAGGACTTTAAACACCAAGGAGAGTATGTTTTGTGTTTAAACTTGTGGACACAATATTTGTAGAGATATAAAAACTCTTTCCAACATGATTCTCACCTATGCCCACTCGCTCAAACACTTATGCAATCAAGAAATATTCATGCAAAACTTAGTCTTTTGGAAGAATGTCTTGGCAGGATGTCGATGTAAATGTAGGTTCTGGAAACTCAGAGTGTAATTGGAGGAGCATTGCGCTGAGCTCAGCAGTCACCCACCCAGCACAGTGGTGACCTCTGTACAGTGGTCTGGGCGTGTCTCCGATGCACAGAGACAGCTCCACAGCCAGGTATACCCGTCACCTCATGTGCAATGGGAAGACCCTTGGGCTCTGAGCCGGAAGGTCTAGCCTGGCATCACAAGCTGAGGCCTCTCCAGGCCTGAAGTTACCCAATAAAACCTTTGCTCCCTTCTTCACAGGTTGGTATAAGCTGTGTGGAAATATTTTGACAAGTACTGTGCAGTTTAGAAATAACACTTCAGATACAAACTATTAGGAAAAGTATGGACATTTTAAAAGCAAAATCTAAGCTCTACGTTACGACAAACAATTTTATTTTCTGATTTGTTCTTGCCTTCAACTTGTGAAGTGTGAGGAGTAACACCATCTATGCGTCTCCCTCTCTTTCAGGTGCGCTTAATTTGCTCCGCGCCGGCTCCTTTACCAAGCTTGTTTCTGCATCAGCCTCATGACAGTGAGTTGGAGCAAAACAGAATAATGATGGATGATTTGGGGCTGAGCCAGGTAGCTGATATTAACATAATCTCATTTTATTATAAAACAGCTTAATTGTTTTTGGTTTGACACATGGCTACATTTTGCAGAAGGAATGTAGTATATGTTTAACTGTTGATTTGCTGCTTCTTGAGCTGGTATAGCAGAGTTCCTCCCAATATCACTAAATGTAGAGAATCACAGTCTTAGAGTGGAAGAAATCTTAGTGATTGTATTTGCTTATGACAAAAACAAAGTGCAGATTGGTTGACTAATGGACATGTGGTCATACCTCTGACTAATGACAGCCCAGAGCTGGATGCCTGGCCACCTGCTGCCTTTTCTGGACATTCCTGTTCATGTCTGCTGGGTTTGGAGAGTGCACAATATAGTATCCAAGCATGTGGGCTGGCTATTCCAGGCCCATGGAGTGCTTAGCCAGGCCCTTGGCTTGCAAAGGAGCCCATGATTCTTCTCCGAACCCCCATTCCCTAAACATGTGTGGAGTGCCTGTGGGTGCCAGGCTTCGGGGACACCCTGTGGGGAACCAGCCAAGGCCAGCTTCCTTCTCCTGGTGCTTGGGGTTTGGTGATTCACCCAAGGCCACCCAGAAGTGACTGCATTTCCTTCTTCTGTATAAACATAAATAAGTGTGTCAGGTTATATTTCTCAACTGTAGGCAATTGAAGTATTAGTCGATGCTTACACAATCCACAAATTAACTCAAAATGGATTGAAGAATTGAATATAAGACCTAAAATAATAAAAATACATAGGAGAAAACATGGGCACTAAACTTAGAGACCTTGGTCTGAGAGGAGTTTTTGTGAACTTGACCCCAAAGGCAAGTCAAGTAAAAGAAAAAATGAATGGACTACATCAAACTAAAAAGCGTCTGCACAGCAAAAGAAGCCATCAAGGACACAAAAAGGCAGCCAACCCTCAGGAGAAGATAGCTGTAAATGATACCTCCAATAAGGTTATAATATCCAAAATGTATAAAGATCTTACACAACTTAAAAAACAATTTGATTAAAAGATGGGCAGAGGACCTGAATAGATAGTTTTCCAAGGAAGACACACAAATGGCCAACAGATAGATGAAAAAATGTTCAACCTCACTACTTACAGCGGAAATGCAAATCACACCTATTGGAATGGCTATTATCAAAGAAATAAGTGTTGGAGTGGGTGTGGAGAATGTAAATTGGTGCATCCATTATGGGATACACTATAGAGTTTCCTAAAAAAATAAGAATAGAGCTGTCATAAGACTCAGTAATGTCTCCTCTGGGTATCTACCCCCAAATTTGAAAACACTTATTTATAAAGCTATATGTACCCTTCTACTGGCACCTTAATCTTGGACTTCTAGCCTCTGGAACTGTGAGGAAATAAATTCCTGTTGGTTAAAAAAAAAAAAAAGATATATGTACCCTTACATTCATTGCAGCCTCATTCACAATTAGCCAAGACATGGAAACAACCTAAGTGTCCTTCGATGGATGATTGGATAAAGAAAATATGGTACATATGTACAACGGAATACTACTCAGCCATAAAAAGATGAAACATTGCCATTTGTGACAACATGGATGGATCTCGAGAGTGTTATATTAAGCGAAATAAGTCAGATGGAAAAGGACAAGAGTTGTATGATTTCACTCAGATATAGGATAGAAAACAAAAAGCAACAAATGAGCAAGCGAAACAAACTCACAGATACAGACAGCAGTATGGTGGTTACCAGAGGAGAAGGGGGTTGGGGGAGGGGGAAAGATGAAGAGGGTAAAGGGGTCACAAATATGGTGACTGAAGACTAGACTTCGGGTGGTGAGCGCACAGTAGAGTGTATTATGAAGTTGTACATGTGAAATATATACTGTCATTAACCAGTGTTACCTAATAAGTTTAATAAAAAAGGAATTGCCAGAATTTTAAAACCAGCTATAAACACTCACCTCCCACAAGAGGGGAGCCCCATTCTTCCAAGCCCAGAGTAAAGGCCGTTTGGCCTGAGGAAACAGTTCTCTATTGACCCGAGCAGGAATTACGTATTCTCAGGAGTTTGGGAAAATGAAGCCAGTAATTGTTTAAAAAGCAAACTTTGAAAGTATGATTACTTAAACCTACACGTAGAAATAAATAGCTGCGTAGAAAGCCATGTGCTGTGACCTTTTGCAATGATGGTTTCTCCAAGAGCAATACTTACGTCTAAATAATGTGTGACAGTTTGAAAACACACTTGAGAAGCAACATCATTTCTGTCTCTAAAGTCCTTCAAATCACTGGCCTTTGAATTGCACCCTGCCTCCCCCATAGGATCAGGGTTCAGATATAAGGCGAAGTAAGCGCAGCACTTGGGCCTAATAATATATGGAGTAATTAGGACACGTGACCACATGGTCCTGCAGTTTTACAGGGGTCCATGGGCAGCATGGACTTAGCAGGCCAGAACTTTCCTCTGAAAGAGAAACCCCCAAAGTAAGAGACAAAAACTTCAACACCCACTTAGTGGCGAGTCCTTGTTGGTATCACCATCGTAGGGTGTTTCCTGGCTCACAGACGCTCCCCACCTCACCCTAGATGGGAGGACCAAGTTTCCCAGCAACTCAAGCCCAGAAGCAGCTCAGGCCTTCCCAAAGTGAGTCCCACCCAGCTCAGCCTCCAGGCCCCACGGGACCTCTCCGCCATCCAGCTTGGAGGAGACGCCAAGGTTCGTCCTCAGGGCCTCCCCTCCTGAGGCCAGCCCTGTCTGTCAAGCTTTGGAGGAGAGCACCAGCCTTTTTCTAGAACTACTTTTGCCAGAACTACTGTATTTTTGCTGTTACTTACTTCTGGGGTGCAGTTTTGATGGAAGAACTCAGTTCTCTATCTGGAATGTCCTTCCTTTAGAATTTGCAGAGAACTTTGAGCAAAAATTTTCATATTTGTATTTTGGGGTGTCCTTTTAGCTTTAATTATTCTGTTTTTTCCCCCTGGTAATTTGTTCTATTTATTGATTATTGATTTAAATTAGTTGTTTCTCTAGTCTAATTTAAGAGATTGTCCATGAAAAAATTTATAGAACATTTTATAATCCAAACACATAAACCTGGAAGGTTTTTTGTTTTTTAAACCCGCACTTAGTTCTGTAAGTTCTCATGAAGTGGTTTTAATTGGGTGGGTTATTGTTTTGTTTTTTTCGTCACCAGGACTCAGCAGGTCTCTCCATGTTTACCGGAGAAGAGGAAATCTTTGCATTTCAGCGCACAATTTCCCGACTCACAGAAATGCAGACTGAACAGTACTGGAATGAAGGCGACAGAAGCGCGCTGTAACCGTCACTTACGCGTGAATGAAACGCTGGACGGATGATTGCCACAGGGAGAGCTCTTTATTATGAGACTTGAAGAAATCATTTTCTCATCATTAATTATGCACTTTGTCCTCTGGACCACTTATATCTAAAATTGCTATCAAAGATGTAGTGGATTAGTAAGTTAAAGCCATTTCTATAAGTCTACTTTGTGCCTATTTATTTGGCCTTACTTCTGCACCACAAAAATAAAACCAGCACTGCTGAGGTTAAGGTAGGACCATACTTTGGGCTCCATATGAAGCCACCCGAGTGAACCTTGAGTACACACACGTCCGAGCTGTGGCTGTGTGGCAGCCGCACAATAGGAACACATCTTGTGTGAGAGGAGGAAAAACCCTATGTTTCAACTGAAAGCAAAGAAAGCATTCTGATCTGACTATAAACTACAGGGAATCATACTTTGGAATGTGGGCTTCCATATGTGTTTCAGGGGGCTAGGAATTGTACCGAATCTCCCAGGTCTTCAGGTTTTCTCACAGCAGAGAATCTATTTTTCACCCTGAGGTCAAGCTTGGCAGGCAGGATGTGACCTGCAGTGGACACAGAGCTGTCTGAAGAGATTGAGGATTATGACACCATGGGATAAGGCGCAAGGATGTCAAATTCTAACCAACAGGCAGGCTCCCCAACTCTGTAGAGGACAGATGCCAGGAATGGGGACCTGTGAGAGTGTCCAGAGGGGCCCAGTCCTGGACACACCGAGCAGCAGGGTGGTCTCCTGCCCACCTGAGGCCAGCTGGACCGAAGGACAGCGCTCCTCCCACTGCTCACGCGCACTGGCTCTGGTTGCAGAACGCCACTCCCCACCCCTGCCTCTGCTGCTACTGCGAGAGGGGCCTGATGGAAATAGGAATGAACACTTGACGAATCTACTTAAATAAAACCTGATTTATCCTGCATCAAGGTCACTCTTTGATTCATTCCAGTACAGTCTGGCTTTGCTAACTTGTTACAGAAAGACTCTTAGTTGAGGCTGTTACAAAAGCCTAAATTCCCCTTAAAAAGAAAAAAAGAGAAGTAAAAAAATAAAAATAAAAATGAGAAATCCACAGTCCGGTGGAAATCAAATATTTTTTGGAGGTAGGCGCAGGTGAGTTCGTTCAGATAAGTGAGTACAGTCATCAACATAAGTAAGCTCTTTGAACCTACTTAACGTATAAGTTACTAATCTGTCCACATTGGTCTGTTTTGAACATTAACCCAAGCCAAGCTGATAGAGAGGTACCAAGTATAGAGAAACTTAACTGTGGCTAAAAATATTTTTATTGACTTGAAACAGTGAGTTCAAAAAGAGGTTAAATAGATTAAGCGGGAGAAAGGATGGGAAATAATTGCCAAATTTATTGTTAGACATTTACATGATCTCAGAGAAAAAAATTAATCCTACGGAATTAATATAATCATTGCTGTTTATATATAAGGAGATTGAGGCTTGACCTGAGATTCCATTTACAAAACTTCTATTATGTCTTCTACCACATGACCTCTATAAAAAAGACTTTTTTAAATATATTTTATTGATTTTTTACAGAGAGGAAGGGAGAGGGATAGAGAGTTAGAAACATCGATGAGAGAGAAACATCAACCAGCTGCCTCCTGCACACCCCCCACTGGGGATATGCATGCAACCCAGGTACATGCCCTTGACCAGAATCGAACCTGGGACCTTTTAGTCCGCAGGCTGACGCTCTATCCACTGAGCCAAACCTCTTAGGGCAAAAAGGAGACATTTTTAATATTGATTTTGTTTTAACTCAGTAAAGGTGAGTTTGCAATAGAACTATTGCTTTTAACTCAATAAATATAAAATGTTTAACTTTCTCCTTTCAGTCTTAGCGTTTGGCTTTTCTGTGGCAATTGTGCTGTACCTTCAGAAAAGGACAGTGATGGACACAGACAAATGGACAGCTGATGGATGGAAACAGAGGGGGTTGGGGTTCTGGGCCCTGACATTTGGGTTCCTGGTTGATTGTGGGAACCTGTCTGGCAGCAAGTGTATAAGTGATCTTGTAAATGACCTTTATCAGGTCCACTAACCTCACAAGACACCCCTTGCTGGTATAGAAAAGGATTTTCTTTGGAGGTGAGTGTACAGCGTTTTTCTTAAGGCAGAATTAAGATTTGCTTCTCCCATTGGCATAGCAGTTCATTTTCCTGGAATAGAAAATTAAAAATAATAAAATCTGTCCACTTGTTGAGTGACGGCTGATTCTGTGTAGCTTTGCACTAGAAACCTCACATATGTTACCTCAGCGGTCACTTAGCCCAATCAGACGTGTCTGCTGACCTGTTGTCTCTGATGGAGTGAAACTCCAGGAGGACGTCTGTCCATCTTTCTCGCTTGCGTAGGAAGCCAGCCGGAGGCTGTCCTAGAAGTTTCCTCCCTCAGGGCTGTCCTTCCAGGTCCCCACGGGTGACGGCTGCTGGTCCCCCGATGGCGCCTACTCTTCGCACTGAGCACACGGGAAGGGCTCGGGATCTGGTTCTGCTGATTTTTACTTGTGACCTTGAACTAGTGCCCTGAGGCTCCTTTTTCTCATCTATAAATGAGAACAATACCCATTACATAGAGTTATTCTGAGGATAGTTGGTGAAAAGCACTTTGCAAGTGGTGAAAGATAAAGTGGAGTTGTTATTGATGCTAATGATTATGGTCATAAAGCAACAGCGAAGACCCACTTCTGCTTTGCGTTAGAACTCCTGAGGAACCCAAAAGGGTAGACGACGAATCCCAACCCAGTACGGCTCCTCGCAGAAGGGAGCATTCACATCAAGTGGCTGGACACCAAGGGGCCGGATTCTGGCTTAACGAGACCCTGTGAAGACTGAAATTCAAATCCATTCTTTCAGGATGGTAGGGAAAATGGATTGTTCCTGTTTGGTGAGCGTCAAAGATTTTGCAGAAAGAGGGCCCCATCTTGTGGTCAGTGGGACAAACTGACAGAAAAAAAAAAGTCCAAGAACCACACAGGGTTCTCAAAGCTGCACCATTCCCAGGCCTCGCTCCCATCCCGGTCGGTCGAGTCAGATGCAACTGGCCAGATGTGGGGCCCCAGGATCAGTACTTGCTAATGCTGCATGGGATTCTGATGTTAATAACCACGACTAGGAGGCCTTGGCCATGACCACACAGCCATTAATTACATAGACTCGGGCCTAGCTGGGTATCCTGACTCCACACCAGAGCACTTTCCTGGGAGCAGAGGCTGCTGCTCAGGGCCTGGGGCCCAGCGCACTGTGGCATCCCGCTGACCTCCCTGCCGCCTCCCAGTGCCTGGTCCTCTCCTTCCTTCCTCTGCTTCTCCTCCTTCCCTAGGCTCTCCTGCGTTTCTTCACCCCCACGGACTGCAGAATAGCTAAACCAGCAGCGATTTCTTTTTTTTTTTTTTTAAATCCTCACCTGAGGATATTTCTCCATTGATTTTTAGAGAGAGTGGAAGGGAGAGGGAGAGACAGAGAAACACTGATGTGAGAGAAACACATCGATTGCCTCCCGCATGCCGCCCACCAGGGCTGGGAGCCTGCAACCGAGGTACATGCCCTTGACCGGAGTCAAACCCGGGACCCTTCAGTCCGCAGGCCGACACTCTATCCACTGAGCCAAACCAGCTAGGGCACGATTTCTTCTGTACAAAGCACTTGCTCCTACCCTATCGTTTCATCCACAGCAATTCCGAGGGAGGTGTGATCATTACTGCTTCCCATGAGGAAATGAAGACCCGAGGAAACTCAGCTGGGAACCACGTCTAGACCAGAACCTGTGCTCTGTGGCCTGCTGCTGCTCAGAAGCTTTCAGCACGTTGGCCCCTCAGCCACACCCTCTCTCCTCTGGCTTCTGTGGATTAATACTCGGTTCTCCCGCTGCCTCTCATCTCTTCCTGCTCTGAACGCTTTTGGCTCCTTTTCATTTTTCTCACCCCCTAAGTTCTTTCTTGGGCTCATTGAAAATGATAATTATAAAAACAACATCGAGTTTTATACAAAGTACTTTCACACACATCATCTTCACATTCTTTCCTCAATTTCCACAGCTGCAAATACCACCTAATACCAACAATAACTGTATTCTGATCCCTGGCTCCCCCCTGCCCCATCTCCTGTACTCCCAAATGCCTAGTGGATCTCTCTTCTTGACTGTTCTTCAAACTCAAGAGTGTCTAAAATGGTACTGTTCTCACCCCTGTCTTCCATGCCCATAATACCTTCTTGCATTGATATTGCCCCAACCACCCATGCAGCTCCAATACTCTGACTTGACAAGGGCCAGAAAAGAAAGGCTAGGTAGGCATTAGAGTCATGTTGATGCATGATTGAGAAAGGGCTCAAGTAAGTGTCAGTGCAGAACAGGACTTGGAGGATGGCTAATTGTTGGAATGAATGGCAAGTCCAACAACCTGAAGGGAGGAGCCATTTGAGCAAACATGATCCCAGCACTCGGGCCTGCCCCGCGTGTTCCTGCAGGACCTGAATCAGGCCTGGACTCTCCCAGGCCTCACCTGGGGCTGAAGGTAGACTCTGGAGTCTTACAGAATGAGGCTGGCTTTGGAAGTGCTAATGGTTGATAGTTCTCATTCTTCTCATTCATGCTTTGATTTATTTTATTTTATTTTTTTATATTTTATTGATTTTTTACAGAGAAGAAGGGAGAGGGATAGAGTTAGAAATATCGATGAGAGAGAAATATCGATCAGCTGCCTCCTGCACAATCCCCTACTGGGGATGTGCCCGCAACCAAGGTACATGCCCTTGCTGGGAATCGAACCTGGGACCCTGAGTCCGCAGGCCGACGCTCTATTCACTGAACCAAATGGGTTAGGGCAGATGCTTTGATTTATTGAGTAAACATTGTTTAAGTGTTTCTTATGGAATAGAATGGCATAAAAGCTTTAAAAATTGTGGTTAATTTCACAGGAGCATCTAGTTGTTCATTATATCTTTCTTTAAGGAAAGCTCACCAATTTTGGTGCATTTAAAAACTAGGATCTCCAAAGCTGACATAAGAGTGAGACTCTCCTGACTGGAGGCACCAACCTTTGTCTGGAGTATTTGATCTTCGCCTGCCCCAAATGTCACCTCCTCCATAGTCTGGCTCAAGCAAGAGTGAGCCATACTTGTTGAGTTTCCCCAATCTTATCTAAGCCAAACACTTCGTTCATGTTTGAAGATATAGATAATAAACTCAGAAAATACTGGGAATCTAGATAATCTGGCTAAAGCATTGAATTTTATCATCTTCAGCATGTGTCTCCCCTTTGTTTCAGCCCCACCTCCATATTCACCTCCTCTATCCCCTCCCACAAAAGGATACACAAAAATACTGGTAGCTCCAGGGCTGCCGGGGTCCAACCCCAGCAGGTCCAGGGGTTCCCAAAGGTGTAGATGGAGACGGTGAAGAAGGAATGAAACGGAGACAGCGTTCAGTTGATCAGCAGCCTAGCCAGGATCTCAAGCCAAGTTATGGTCTGGAT